GTGCAGGGGTAGTGGTGCAGGGGTAGTGGTGCAGGGGTAGTGGTGCAGGGGGTAGTGGTGCAGGGGTAGTGGTGCAGGGGGTGAGTGCAGGGGTAGTGGTGCAGGGGGGTAGTCAGTAGTGGGGTAGGGGTGCAGGGTAGTGGTGCAGGGGTAGTGGTGCAGGGGTAGTGGTGCAGGGGGTGCAGAGTCAGTGGTAGTGGTGCAGGGTAGTGGTGTCAGGGGTAGTGGTGCAGGGGGTGAGTCAGTGGTAGTGGTGCAGGGGTAGTGGTGCAGGGTAGTGGTGCAGGGGTGCAGGGGTCAGGGTAGGGTAGTGTGCAGGGTAGTGGTGCAGTCAGTAGTGGTGCAGGGGTGAGTGCAGGGTGCAGGGGTGCAGGTAGTGGTGCAGGGGGTAGTGGTGCAGGGGTAGGGGTGCAGGGGTAGGGGTGCAGGGTAGTGGTGCAGGGTAGTGGTGCAGGGGTAGTGGTGCAGGGGTAGTGGTGCAGGGGTAGTAGTGGTGCAGGGGTGAGGGTGCAGGGGTAGGGGTGCAGGGTAGTGGTGCAGGGGTAGTGGTGCAGGGGTAGTGGTCAGCAGGGTAGGGGTGCAGGGTAGTGGTGCAGGGGTAGTGGTGCAGGGGGGGTAGTGGTGCAGGGGTAGTGGTAGTGGGGTAGGGGGTGCAGGGTAGTGGTGCAGGGGTGAGTCAGCAGGGGCAGTGGTGCAGGGGTAGTGGTGCAGGGGGGTAGTAGTGGTGCAGGGGTCAGGGTGCAGGGGTAGTGGTGCAGGGGGGGTCAGTAGTGGTGCAGGGGTAGGGGTGCAGGGTAGTGGTGCAGGGTAGTGGTGCAGGGTAGTGGTGCAGGGGTAGTGGTGCAGGGGTAGGGGTGCAGGGTAGTGGTGCAGGGGTAGGGGTGCAGGGGTAGTGGTGCAGGGGTAGGGGTGCAGGGGTAGGGGTGCAGGGTAGTGGTGCAGGGTAGTGGTGCAGGGGTAGTGGTGCAGGGTAGTGGTGCAGGGGTAGTGGTGCAGGGGTAGTGGTGCAGTGGTAGTGGTGCAGGGGTAGTGGTGCAGGGGTAGTGGTGAGTAGGGTGCAGGGGTGCAGGGGTAGTGGTGCAGGGGTAGTGGTCAGTAGGGTAGGGGTGCAGGGGTAGTGGTGCAGGGGTAGAGTCAGGGGTAGTGGTGCAGGGGTAGTGGTGCAGTAGTGGTGCAGGGTAGTGAGTCAGTAGTGGTGCAGGGGTGAGTCAGGGTAGTGGTGCAGGGGTGAGGGGTGCAGGGGTAGTGGTGCAGGGGTGAGTCAGTGCAGGGTAGTGGTGCAGGGTAGTGGTGCAGGGGTAGTAGTGGTGCAGGGGTGAGTCAGTGGTGCAGGGGTAGTGGTGCAGGGGTAGTGGTGCAGGGGGTGGGTAGTAGTGGTGCAGGGGTAGTGAGTGCAGGGTAGTGGTGCAGGGGGTGAGTCAGTGGTAGTGGTGCAGGGGTGGTCAGGGGTAGGGGTGCAGGGGTAGAGTGGTGCAGTAGCAGAGGTGCAGGGGTAGTGAGGTCAGGGGTAGGGGTGCAGGGGGTGAGTCAGTGGGTAGAGGTGCAGGGGTGCAGGGGTAGGGGTGCAGGGGTAGGGGTGCAGGGGTAGGGGGTGCAGTCAGTAGTGGTGCAGGGGTGAGTCAGGGGTAGGGGTGCAGGGGGTGGTGTCAGTAGTGGTGCAGGGGGTAGAGGTCAGGGGTAGTGGTGCAGGGGAGTAGAGTCAGTAGGGGTGCAGGGGGTGAGTGCAGTGGGTAGTGGTGCAGGGGGTGAGTGCAGGGTAGTGGTGCAGGGGTAGGGGTGCAGTCAGTAGTGGTGCAGGGGGTCAGAGTGTGCAGGGGGGTCAGTAGTGGTGCAGGGGTGAGTCAGTAGTGGTGCAGGGGTGAGGGGTGCAGGGTAGTGGTGCAGGTTAGTGGTGCAGGGGTAGGGGTGCAGGGGAAAATGGGGAGGTCACTTTAGAACAGGAATTCGTACAACTGGTTAGATATGTTAAAAAAGAGATAAGGAAAGCAAAAAGAAACTATGAAGTTCGCATAGCAGGGCAAGCAAAGACAAATCCTAAAGGGTTTTTTCAGTTATATCGTACTAAGACTAGGGAAAGGATAGGTCCATTAAAAACTGAGACAGGTCAATAACAGATAGTGATGAAGAGATGAGTAGTATTTTTAATAAATATTTTGTATCTGTATTTACTAAAGAGGAACTTAACAATATGCCTTCAGCCGAACAAGTCTATGTGGGTGGGGACGAGGACAGGTTGACGAGTTTAGCAGTTACCAGGGAGGATGTTCTTAAACAAATAGTAAAACTCAAACCAAACAAATCCCCAGGGCCGGATGAAGTGTTTGCTAGGGTGCTTAAAGAATGCAAAGAGGAGCTTTGTGACCCACTGTCAACCATATTTAATAAATCAATAGAGTCAGGCAGAGTGCCAGAGTTTTGGAAAGTTGCTAATGTGATACCAGTTTTTAAGAAAGGAGATAGATCACTTGCGTCTAACTATCGACCAATTAGCCTAACGTCTATTGTGGGAAAGTTACTCGAATCTATAATAGCAAATAAAATTCGTCTTCATCTTGAAAAACATAAATTAATAATTGAGTCGCAACATGGTTTTATAAATGGCCGTTCATGTTTAACAAATTTGTTATCTTTTTATTCTAGCATTGTTGAGGCAGTTGATAGTGGTAAGGATTGCGATGTTGTATACCTTGACTTTAGCAAAGCTTTTGATACAGTGCCACATGAAAGACTGATTAAAAAAATAGAGTCTCATGGTATTGGGGGTGCTATATTAAGCTGGATTAGGGCATGGCTATACCAAAGGAAACAGAGAGTTAGTATAAATGGAATCAAGTCAGAGTGGGAAAATGTTGTAAGTGGAGTGCCTCAAGGCTCTGTCCTGGGACCTCTGTTGTTTATAATATATATAAATGATTTAGATTCAGGTTTGAGTAGCAACATTTGCAAATTTGCCGATGATACGAAAATCGGTAGGGAAATTAATTCGGAGGAGGACTCACTATCACTTCAAGTTGATCTAGATAGGGTTTTGAAATGGTCAAAGGATTGGCAGATGCAGTTTAATGCTGATAAATGTAAAGTTCTGAGGTTAGGTAATGATGATAGAGTTACAAGATACGAGCTAGATGGTGTTGTGATTGCGAAGTCGGATTGCGAAAGGGATCTGGGAGTTATGATTAGTAAGAATTTAAAACAAAGGATCAATGCATAAATGTTCGTAATAAGGCAAATCGGACACTTGGATTTATTAATCGCAGCGTTAGTAACAAGACACCTGGTGTGGTTCTCAAGCTATATCTTGCTCTAGTTTTTAGAAATCTTTCATATGATTAGAAATCTTTCATATTATTAGAAATCTTTCATATGAAGAAAGATTAACAAAGCTTAAGTTGCATTCACTGGAAAGGCGAAGAGTTAGGGGTGACATGATAGAGGTTTACAAGTGGATGAATGGACATAACCGGGGGGATATTAATAGGGTATTAAAAGTATCAACACAGGACAGAACACGAAACAATGGATATAAATTGGATAAGTTTAGATTTAGGAAAGACTTGGGTAAATACTGGTTCAGTAACAGGGTTGTTGATTTGTGGAACCAATTGCCGCGTAACATTGTGGAGGTGGGGTCCCTCGATTGTTTCAAGCACGGGTTGGACAAGTATATGAGTGGGATTGGGTGGTTATAGAATAGGAGCTGCCTCGTATGGGCCAATAGGCCTTCTGCAGTTACCTTTGTTCTTATGTTCTTATGTTCTTATGGTAGTGGTGCAGGGTAGTGGTGCAGGGGTAGAGGTGCAGGGGTAGAGGTGCAGGGGTAGGGGTGCAGGGGTAGAGGTGCAGGGGTAGGGGTGCAGGGGTAGTGGTGCAGGGGTAGGGGTGCAGGGTAGTGGTGCAGGGTAGTGGTGCAGGGGTAGGGGTGCAGGGGTAGTGGTGCAGGGTAGTGGTGCAGGGGTAGAGGTGCAGGGGTAGAGGTGCAGGGGTAGGGGTGCAGGGGTAGTGGTTCAGGGTAGGGGTGCAGGGTAGAGGGTCCAGGGGTAGTGGTGCAGGGGTAGTGGTGCAAGGGTAGGGATGCAGGGGTAGGAATGCAGGGGTGGGGGTGCAGGGGTAGTGGTTCAGGGTAGGGGTGCAGGGGTAGGGGGTCCAGGGGTAGGGGGTCCAGGGGTAGGGGTGCAGGGGTAGGGGTGCAGGGGTAGGGGTGCAGGGGTAGGGATGCAGGGTTGGGGGTGCAGGGGTAGGTGTTGGGGGTGCAGGGGTAGGGGTGCAAGGGTAGGGTAGCGAGTGTGACTGTGACGTTGGGGTGGAGAAAATGCAAGAAGGTCGGTCGTAACTTAAGGAAACGGGTAAATAGTCGACCTTGGGTAGAGGGACAGAAGGTTCACTGGCACGGGGCCGAGGCTCCCCTTCCTGCCCACGCTGCCCTGACAGATGCCGACTGGCTCCCCTAGCCCCTATGGCGCTTACCTATCTGCGCTTACTGGGACGCGCTCGGCTCCCAAGCCCCTATGGCGCTTACCTATCTGCGCTTGCTGGGACGCGCTCGGCTCCCAAGCCCCTATGGCGCTTACCTATCTGCGCTTGCTGGGACGCGCTCGGCTCCCAAGCCCCTATGGCGCTTACCTATCTGCGCTTGCTGGGACGCGCTCGGCTCCCAAGCCCCTATGGCGCTTACCTATCTGCGCTTGCTGGGACGCGCTCGGCTCCCAAGCCCCTATGGCGCTTACCTATCTGCGCTTGCTGGGACGCGCTCGGCTCCCAAGCCCCTATGGCGCTTACCTATCTGCGCTTGCTGGGACGCGCTCGGCTCCCTAGCCCCTATGGCACTTACCTATCTGCGCTTGCTGGGACGCGCTCGGCTCCCTAGCCCCTATGGCACTTACCTATCTGCGTTTGCTCGGACGCGCTCGGCTCCCTAGCCCCGCCTTCCTAACCCTCTTAGAATAATGCAATGAAGCACTTCCCACGGTATTTTTATATCATATTTACGTTAAAATTTTGCTTCAACGCCATCTTCGTCTAAGGTATTTTAGTTTCCGACAACTCTGATTCTGAAGAGGGTCGTTCTGACGGTGAAGGTCTTTCTGACGGTGAAGGTCTTTCTGACGGTGAAGGTCTTTCTCACGGTGAAGGTCTTTCTGACGGCGAAGAAGGTCTTTCTCACGGTGAAGAAGGTCTTTCTCACGGTGAAGGTCTTTCTGACGGTGAAGGTCTTTCTGACGGCGAAGGTCTTTCTGACGGTGAAGGTCTTTCTGACGTCGAAGGTCTTTCTGACGGCGAAGAAGGTCTTTCTCACGGTGAAGAAGGTCTTTCTGACAGTGAAGGTCTTTCTGACGGTGAAGGTCTTTCTGACGGTGAAGAAGGTCTTTCTGACGGTGAAGGTCTTTCTGACGGTAAAGGTCTTTCTGACGGCGAAGAAGGTCTTCTGACGGTGAAGGTCTTTCTGACGGTGAAGGTCTTTCTGACGGTGAAGAAGGTCTTTCTGACGGTGAAGGTCTTTCTGACGGCGAAGAGGGTCTTTCTGACGGTGAAGGTCTTTCTGACGGTGAAGGTCTTTCTGACGGCGAAGAGGGTCTTTCTGACGGTGAAGAAGGTCTTTCTGACGGCGAAGGTCTTTCTGACGGCGAAGAGGGTCTTTCTGACGGTGAAGAAGGTCTTTCTGACGGTGAAGGTCTTTCTGACGGTGAAGGTCTTTCTGACGGTGAAGGTCTTTCTGACGGCGAAGGTCTTTCTGACGGTGAAGGTCTTTCTGACGGTAAAGAAGGTCTTTCTGACGGTGAAGGTCTTTCTGACGGCGAAGAGGGTCTTTCTGACGGTGAAGAAGGTCTTTCTGACGGCGAAGGTCTTTCTGACGGCGAAGGTCTTTCTGACGGCGAAGAAGGTCTTTCTGACGGTGAAGGTCTTTCTGACGGTGAAGGTCTTTCTGACGGTGAAGGTCTTTCTGACGGTGAAGGTCTTTCTGACGGTGAAGAAGGTCTTTCTGACGGTGAAGAAGGTCTTTCTGACGGTGAAGGAGGTCTTTCTGACGGTGAAGGTCTTTCTGACGGTGAAGAAGGTCTTTCTGACGGTGAAGGTCTTTCTGACGGTGAAGGTCTTTCTGACGGTGAAGGTCTTTCTGACGGTGAAGAAGGTCTTTCTGACGGTGAAGAAGGTCTTTCTGACGGTGAAGGAGGTCTTTCTGACGGTGAAGGTCTTTCTGACGGTGAAGGTCTTTCTGACGGTGAAGGTCTTTCTGACTGTGAAGAAGGACTTTCTGACGGTGAAGAAGGTCTTTCTGACGGTGAAGGACTTTCTGACGGTGAAGGACTTTCTGACGGTGAAGAAGGTCTTTCTGACGGTGAAGGTCTTTCTGACGGTGAAGAAGGTCTTTCTGACTGTGAAGAAGGACTTTCTGACGGTGAAGAAGGTCTTTCTGACGGTGAAGGACTTTCTGACTGTGAAGAAGGACTTTCTGACGCTGAAGGAGGTCTTTCTGACGCTGAAGGTCTTTCTGACGCCGAAGGTCTTTCTGACGCTGAAGGTCTTTCTGACGCTGAAGAAGGTCTTTCTGACGCTGAAGGTCTTTCTGACGCCGAAGAAGGACTTTCTGACGCTGAAGGTCTTTCTGATGCTGAAGGTCTTTCTGACGCTGAAGAAGGTCTTTCTGACGGCGTAGAAGGTCTTTCTGACGCTAACTACCCACCCCCTCTCTTTCTTGGCTTATTTTTGTTGCCTGGTCGTAGAATTCCATTCAGTAGAATCAGTAGAATTCCTGTGAGGCATTATCTACCATCCCTGAACCCATGCTGATGCTGTGTTACAAAGTTCTTCGCTCCAGATGTTCCACTAGCTTTTTTCGCACAATCTTCTCCATCACCTTGCATGGTATGCAGGTCAGTGACACTGGCCTGTAGTTCAGTGTGTGTGTGTGTGTGTGTGTGTGTGTGTGTGTGTGTGTGTGTGTGTGTGTGTGTGTGTGTGTGTGTGTGTGTCCGCGCGCGTGCGTGCGTGCGTATCTGTCAATGAACTGTGAACTAAATACTTTATGATTGCCTTGAAGTTTGCCAGATCTTGATAACACATCAATTGCCAGCAAAAGAATTTTTACACTAATTAAATCAAAGGTGAGATGGTTGGGAACTATTCCTTAGAGAAAGAGAGAGAGAGAGAGAGAGAGAGAGAGAGAGAGAGAGAGAGAGAGAGAGAGAGAGAGAGAGAGAGAGAGAGAGAGAGAGAGAGAGAGAGAGACAGCAAGCTCTCCCTCTCTCTCCCATTACGTAGGGTACACATCTGCACTCAATACTCCCCTCCCCTTAATACCCGTCGCAGGAAAAGTCTTCAAGCCTTCCCAAAGTGGTCTCCAGCTCAACCAACTCCACAATGGTATACATATATATATATATATATATATATATATATATATATATATATATATATATATATATATATATATATATTTATATATATATATATATATTGCATATATATATATATATATATATATATATATATATTTATATATATATATATGAATGAAAACTCACACCCCAGAAGTGACTCGAACCCATACTCCCAGAAGCAACGCAACTGGTAACTACAGGGCGCCTTAATCCGCTTGACCATCACGGCCGTCAAAAGGAAGTGATAGCCGAGGCTATTTGAGCCAAAGAATGAGGTGATTTGGTGAAATGCTATGCCCAAGATTACCATCCGAGTTGCCGTCGGGGAAGTGGCTCAAATAGCCTCGGCTATCAATTCCTTTTGACGGCCGTGATGGTCAAGCGGATTAAGGCGCCCTGTAGTTACCAGTTGCGTTGCTTCTGGGAGTATGGGTTCGAGTCACTTCTGGGGTGTGAGTTTTCATTCGCATATAGTCCTGGGGACCATTCAGGCTTGTTCGCATTTGTGTTCCTCACGTGTGCCCCAAAGAATGAGGTGATTTGGTGAAATGCTATGCCCAAGATTACCATCCGAGTTGCCGTCGGGGAAGTGGCTCAAATAGCCTCGGCTATCACTTCCTTTTGACGGCCGTGATGGTCAAGCGGATTAAGGCGCCCTGTAGTTACCAGTTGCGTTGCTTCTGGGAGTATGGGTTCGAGTCACTTCTGGGGTGTGAGTTTTCATTCGCATATAGTCCTGGGGACCATTCAGGCTTGTTCGCATTTGTGTTCCTCACGTGTGCCCCAAAGAATGAGGTGATTTGGTGAAATGCTATGCCCAAGATTACCATCCGAGTTGCCGTCGGGGAAGTGGCTCAAATAGCCTCGGCTATCACTTCCTTTTGACGGCCGTGATGGTCAAGCGGATTAAGGCGCCCTGTAGTTACCAGTTGCGTTGCTTCTGGGAGTATGGGTTCGAGTCACTTCTGGGGTGTGAGTTTTCATTCGCATATAGTCCTGGGGACCATTCAGGCTTGTTCGCATATATATATATATATATATATATATATATATATATATATATATATATATACGTTGAGGCAGAGGTTGAGGAGGTTGTAGCTGAGATTCAGGGGTGTATACATGTGTGTGTGTGTGTGTGTGTGTGTGTGTGTGTGTGTGTGTGTGTGTGTGTGTGTGTGTGTGTGTGTGTGTGTGTGTGTGTGTGTGTGTGTGTGTGTGCACCCCGTGTCATTTAGGCTGTAATACATGCCCAATAATTTAAATAATATTACAGTGTTAATTTCAACGGAAAGTTTTTTTGAGAAGGGCGATCAGGTGATGATGAGGTCTATCGTAAAGTAGTTGACTAATTTCCTAGGATAATATGATCTATTGACCTTAATATAACACAGACCTCAATGCAGCACGCTTCCATCCACCAAACTTTTTTATTAAGACGTTGATCAAACTTGTGATCTCGTTAGAACGATTGGCACTCTAGGGGGCCTTAACAATAATATTTGGGTTCAATGACCTCAATGTTAACAACACTGACGCCGGTGTAACGATCTAGTTCATGGGGAGGGGGGGGGGGGGGATGGTGCGTGTGTGCGCGCGCGCTTACTTAAAGGCACTTGTTTAATGTCTTACAAGGTAATCCCTGTGACTAGGGGAGTTAAACAGGGAGATCCCCTGTCTCCATTTCTTTTCAATTTGGTGATTGATGAGGCAATCACCAATGCTAAGAAACTGGGGCTGGGGATTCGTCTGGGGGAGGAAAAGGTGTCAATACTAGCGTTTGCTGACGATTTGGTCGTGGCAGCGGAGACGCCGACCGGCCTTCAGGCTTTGATAAATATTATATGTGACACCTTGAGTGGCGCGGGCCTGAGGGTCAACGCGGGAAAGTGCTGTTCATTGAGCCTACAGATCGATGGAAAGCGCAAGAAGTGGTACCTCGCTTCGCAAACGAGATTCCACGTCGGGGGCGCAGCCATGGATTCTATTGGCATCACTGACGAGTACAAGTACCTGGGTATTCTCGTTGCTGCCGGTGGCAGGGGCCTCTCCTATGGCTCTATGTTTGAGGAGGGGATTGTTAACATCACGCAGGCCCCCCTCAAACCCCAGCAGAGGTTATACGTGCTGAAACACCACCTTATTCCTAAAATGAACCATCGTCTGATTGTGGGTACGGTGTTTAAGACTCAACTAGCGAGAATCGACCGAAGGATGAGGCAGGCTATTCGTAGCTGGCTCCGTCTACTGCAGGACACCCCGAATGCGTTCTTCTACACCGACTGGAAGGACGGTGGTCTTGGGATGCCCGAATTTGTCTCGTCAATCCGGCTACACAAGAACAAGCGTTTCAGCAGTCTGTTGGAGTCGGCTGACCCAACGGTCCGGGCAGCGGTCCTTCTACCGGCTATCCAAGATAAGATGCGTCGGTGGATCGGCCCGGCCTTGATTGGGGGCGAGCCGGTAACCACCAGAGCTGAGTGTTCTCGGACATGGCGAGAGCGGCTTTACCGCACAGCCGATGGTGCTGGATTGAGGTCCTCGTGCGAGGTTCCCTCGTGCCTGGGATGGATCTCGTCCGGCACCCGCCTATTGAACTCACGAACTCACCACCCACCGGTGTTAAGTTCGCTCATGCTGTCCAGGTGAGAGCTAACGCTTTGGCCACGCCGTCCAGGGCCGCTAGGGGTCGCCCAGGTGCCAGCGACATGTGTGATACATGCAGGAAACCTGGCACCCGTGGGCACATCTCACAAGCATGCCCGAGGACGCATGGAGCACGGGTGGTACGTCATGACGATATCATCCGGTTCGTAGCTGGTCGTCTGAGATAGCGAGGGTATGAGGTGGTGAGGGAGGTGCGGATACCCGATGGTGGGACCTTTTGCAAGCCGGGTATCATTGCTTGCAAAAGCAGTGAGGCCATAATTCTAGACACCCAGGTGTCGGCTGACGGCTTTCCACCCTCCCGCCTACACCAGAGCAAATGTGACCGGTACGGCACCCCCGAGATCCTTCAGTGGGTCAGGGATTACACCGGTGCCAATGCAGTCTCTGCCTCCTCAATTACCTTGAATTGGGTTGGCAGGTTCTGCAATGAGAGTGCCCGTGTTCTTAAGAGGTTGGGCTTGACCAACGGAGATTTGGAGATCTGCTCCGTCAAGGCCCTAACCTGGACGTACTCGATTTACCGTATGTGGTCCACGAGCACGGGGAGGGGTTGATAACGATCACCCCTGGACATGGGCACGGGTGGACTTCCTTTGTGCCCCGACACCCAGAAGCGACTAGGGTGAGTGGATTCCGGCTAGGGTACCGGACGTCATTTTGGGGGTACCACTTCCCCAGTGGCTGATTTTGGAGATGGCGAGTGGCTTGACCGAACCCGTGAGAGGATAAGCTACGGCTGGAGGGACACATGCGTGCATGTTCCTTGCCTCTCCGGGGACTTGATCCGCTCAAGCCAGGCATGTCCTCCCCCGTGATTGATATTTTTCCATGCACGCATGACATTAAAGGTGATCGTCTCCTGTTGGAGACGCCATTCATTCTATTTAGTGGCATGCCTCTTATTTTGTTCCGAGTTATATTTTAATGTATATTGTTTTTTATGTATCTCCATGCATCTTTATTCTTTCTTTTTTGTTTTGTTACATCGTAGGCCACAGCATGAATTTTAGTTTATTTTAGATGTAATATGTTTTTAACGGTTACGGCTGCGGGGCCTATGGGGCCCATGCCTTGTGGCTGGGTCGCTGGGCGCCAAAGCTAGATCAACACCCTTTTTCCCCCGAAGTGGCAAGGGGAGCAAAGGGGACAAATTCTGGCATACCCACCACCGTCCTTGTATTTTTGAGGTAGTGAACATGTACCGTACAAGGCAGCCGTTAGACGAAAACGTGAACCTGTGGCATAGGCCAATTGCGCACATAGTAATCACCTAGTGTGTGTGTGTGTGTGTGTGTGTGTGTGTATGTGTATGTGTATGTGTGTGTGTGTGTGTGTGTGTGTGTGTGTGTGTGTGTGTGTGTATGTGTGTGTGTGTGTGTGTGTGTGTGTGTGTGTGTGTGTGTGTGTGTGTGTGTGTGTGTGTGTGTGTGTGTGTGTGTGTGTGTGTGTGTGTGTGTGTGTGTGTGTGTGTGTGTGTGTGTGTGTGTGTGTGTGTGTGTGTGTGTATGTGTGTGTGTATGTGTGTGTGTATGTGTGTGTGTATGTGTGTGTGTGTGTGTGTGTGTGTGTGTGTGTGTGTGTGTGTGTGTGTGTGTGTGTATGTGTGTGTGTGTGTGTGTGTGTGTGTGTGTGTGTGTGTGTGTGTGTGTATGTGTGTGTGTGTATGTGTGTGTGTGTGTGTGTGTGTGTGTGTGTGTGTGTGTGTGTGTGTATGTGTGTGTATGTGTGTGTGTGT